CAAGAAATAACAACAGAGGGAGACGTACATCTTGGTGGAACGATGAAGTGAAAAGAGAAATAAAAGAAAAGAAGAAGTTATGGAAAGAATACATAAAAGACAAAACACAACCAAAATATGAAAATTATAAGAGACAAAGAACAAAAGTTAAAGAGATAGTTAAGAAAGAGAAAAAGAAAAGTTGGGAAAAATTCGGAGAAAAAATGGAAGAAAACAGCACAGAAAACGTAAAATTATTTTATAGAACACTGAAAACCCTAAGAAGCAACAAAGAAACGAAACTAAAACAAATAATGAACAAGGAAGGAACAATAATAAAAGACGATAAGACAATAATGGAAAGATGGAGGGAACACTTCCAGCTGATACTGAATGGAAATCAAGCGAATACAATGGAGAACGAAAGCCACATCAAGAGAGTATACATGAGAAACATGGAAAATCCAGAAACTATAGAAAAAGAAGAACTAGAAGAAGCAATAAGAAAGATAAAGATTGGAAAAGCACCAGGAAGCGATGAAGTAGCACCAGAAATGATGAAATATATAGGAGTAAAAGCAAAAGAAAAATTGTTATACATATATAACCTAATATGGAAGAGAAAAGTAATACCCAGAGAATGGACAAATGCAGTAATTATACCTATATACAAGAAAGGAAACACAAGAGACTGTAAGAACTATAGAGGTATATCACTACTATGTGTAGCAGCAAAAGTATACGAAACCATAATAGAAAGGAAAATCAGAAAAGAAATAGAACATAAATTAGAGGATGTACAAAGTGGATTCAGGAAAGGACACAACACACAAGACCATATATTCACCATGCAACAAGTCATAGAAAAGGCCTTAAAGAAAAATAGAGAAATATATCTGAGCTTTATAGACATGGAAAAAGCATTCGACTCAGTCAAAAGAAAAGATATATGGGAAAGCCTAAAAAAGAAGCAAGTAAGTGAAGAACTGATAGAAGCAACAAAGAGTATATACATGAAAACAACAAACACAGTAAGAATGTCAAATATGCAGTCAGAACCATTTGAAACAACTCAAGGAGTTAGACAAGGAGGAAGTCTCAGCCCAGTGCTATTCATAAATGTAATAGATGAGATAGTGAAAGAATGTAAGAAAACGTTCAAGAAATACTGCATCGGTTGGAACAGAATGCAAATGATAAACGCTGAGATGTGTATATTTGCAGACGACATAGTATTAATTGCGGAAACAGCAGAAAAACTGAAATACAACTTAGAGAAATGGAACCTAGAAGCAAGCAAATACAACTTAAACGTAAACAAAGAGAAGACTCAGATAATGAAAATATCAAGGAAACAAGGGACGGAAGATCAACTAGAAATAATGATAGACCAACAAAAAATAATACAGACAAATTCATACAAATACTTAGGAACAGTAATCAACAACAAAGGAGACATCGAGGACGATCTTAACAATAGAATGGAAAACACAGGAAAACTATTCCAAGCACTAAATAGAGGATTCCTTAATAACAAAGAAATATCAACAAAGACCAAGATGACAATATACAAAACAATATATAGACCTACAGTGACATATGGAGCAGAAAATTGGATACTAAACAAAAGGCATCAAAGCAGAATTCAGGCAGCAGAAATGAAATACCTCAGAAGAACGATCGGAGTAAAAAGAACTGATAGAATCAGAAATGAAGAAATAAGAGAAAGACTAAAAATCAAACCGATTCTCGAATCAATCAAGGAGAAAAAATTGGCATGGTTCGGACATCTAACCCGGATGGACAATAATAGACAAGTAAAAAGAGTGTGGGACGCCAAACCAATAGGGAAGAACAGAAGAGGAAGACCCATTAAAGAATGGAACAGTGACATCTCGCAGATACTGCAGAGTAAGGGTAAGACTTGGCAGGAAGCAACTCAGATGGCATACAATAGGAAGGAATGGAGAAAGTTTGTCAAGAGCTAGGACACCTCAGAAGATTATAAAATATTGTAATATAAAGAATTGTATTATAAACGGCCCAACACCGAAAGGTACAAATGGGTCTACTGATTAAGTAAGTGTTCAGAGTTTACAAAATACCATTATCAGATGGTCCCAACAAATCATATCTGGTTTGAGGTCTAATTTTAAACATACACTGGGCTGGAGAAATGCCTGTTGTAGTAGAGGGAGTATTGCGGTAGGTGAAGAGTTATATTCTTAGTCATATTTTGTCACGTATAGTCTGGTTTCCAAATTGGGTCTCTTCAAGGAACCTGTCGATATTTCTGTGGTCGGCGTCACTCATATATCTTCAAGGATAAAGCACAAGAGCAAGTTGTCAGTATATTCGTTATATTCTTCCTTTTCGACAACCTTAAACTGTATTGTCACTTTTTAGATTTGTAGTCATGGTTCAAGCATTCCAATCGAAGAACACTTTAAATCAACTCATAAAGAAATTATGTTGGTCGCTTCGTAGTAAGTCTTCCATTAAAGAATTCAACTGATAATCTGGGTGAATCTAGGAGCAAAGCTGAAAGACTTTAATCTATAGCGTAAACAAACTTCAGAATAATCCTATCATGAAGGATATATATGTTTCATTTATGGAGGAATACATTCCAATGGGTCCTATGTCTAAGATTGAGGACGCTACAGATCAAGCTCACTTCTATCTCCAACACCACTGAGTCCTTAACGAGAATAGTCTCACTACTCAACTGTGTGTAGTGTTGGATGATTCTTATCCTACTAATTCAGGTGTTTCGGTTAATCTTTTTAGGTTTATGCACCACGTGTATAAAGCTTCTGCTGACCTAGTCAAAATGTATCGGCGAATTCTTGTTTGTTCTCAAAGGAACATCCAACTAATTCTATGGAGACGGGATCCTCAGGAGTCTTTGCAAACTTATTAACACGTTCACTTACGGCACCGCTTCCGCTAGCCTTCTTTCTACGAGATGCCTATTTCAATTATCTCATGAAAATTTTGAGCAGTATCCCAAGTTGCAAAGATTATTAAAAATTACTTCTACGTTGATCACGTTCTGACGGGGTCCGATTCAGCTTCGGAGCTTCTTCAGCATTGTCAATAAATTACTCTTAGGTATATTATCAGAAGGTTGTTTCCCGCTTCGAATGTGGATTTCGAATGACCCTTCACTTCTTACGGGTATTCAGGATTCTTTGGTCCACTCAGATCTTTCTTTCTTGCTAGGTTCTCTTGAAATTAAAAGAACGATAGGTCTTCAGTGGCATCCAAAGTTTGACCTTCTTCATTATCATATATTCTCTGACGTTCTCTCTAGAACAGTTACTAAAAGGTACATACTTTCTGGGATAGCCCACATTCGATCACCTTGGTCTTCTAAGCGCCACAATTATCATCGTAAAAATAATAATGCAATGGCTGTGATTGGAACACTTAGAGTGGGATTAAGCTGTACCTTTAGACGTCCACACAAAGTGACGTTAATTTCGAGATCAGCTTTGCCATTTAAACAATGTAAGCTTTGCTACATTGCTATAATTGACAATGCTTCAACTATTGAGCTGCGTGGCTTCTCTGACGAAAGCGAAGCAGCGTATGGTGACGTCATTTATATTCAAAGTATTTATCAACAAGGAAATATATTAAGAGGAGAGTATCTCCTCTAAAGATAATTAGCCTTCCTTGGTTGGTTGGAACTTTGTCGAGCCTTGATATTATGTGACTTCCTTCACGGCTCGTGAAGAAAGTCACATAATCGCTCAATCTTCAATTTTATGATAATATTCTTTGGACAGATTCCACTATTGTACTAGGTAGGATCCGAGCCTCGCCACATATTCGTAAAATATTCGTGGCTAATGGGGTGTCTGAAATTTAATCCAACACTTCGTCTAGCTCTTGTTGAGTTGACTTATGTTATTAACAATTTGGTGGCATGGTCCTCCCTTCCTCATATAATCTTCTGCTAGTTTGCCGTTTCTAAGAATTCAGCCTGCGCAAGATCTTCCTGAGACTAAGAAAGTTACTTATTCTTTGATCACAAGCTTCGCGAAATCTGTTCCGTTCCACAATTACAGTAATTTCTCATTTCTCACAAGCGTCATTGTCTGTTGCTTGCGTCTGTTCCGAAACAGCAAATCTTCAAGATGCATGGTTTCCAATCCTTTAACCACTATAGAGCTTCATGCTTCTGTCACATATATTGAAAAGATGATTCAAGCGGAGACATTTCTAAAGGAACTTCACAACTTTTCTAAGGGAAAGTCGCTCTCTTATAAGAGCAAAATCCTCTCTTTAAATCATGTTCTGGATAATGATAGCGTAATCGGAATAGGTGGTAGATTACGTAACTCTAAATATGGTTTAATAAAAGGCATCCAGTAATCCTTCCTGCAGATCATCATGTTAAGACTATAATTTTTCTCTTTCGTAATTTATACCTTTATTTCTGTATATACTTTTTATCGAGGTTGAAGCATGAACACGTACTTAATTCGTACTGTAGTTCGTTGTAAATAAAAGTTCTACAAGTAGTATCTAAATTTGTAATTTCAAACTAAAATAAGAAGTGTATAGAGCAATAAGTGTCAGTAACAAGTGCATAGTTAAGTTTTTCTTTTCAATTTTTCGCTAATTTTTCGATCTCATTTTCTAAAGTGCCAAGATATCTAGTTTAAATTTTCTCATCTGCTGGTTTCTGGTTTAAAACCTTACCATTTACAACAATATTTTGTTAACAATTTCGAAAATAGATAAATTTTCAAATCCGACATATCATTTCTAAGTACATCAGTAGTTATAATCAATTTTTGAAAAAGTAACAATTTATTGGAAGAAAATACTTATATGAAATTGATACAAAAAGATAGTTAAAATTCAACTGCTGTTAAAACGGAACACAATATTTAATTATTTCGAAATCCAGAAGAATTTGTGACGTCATCTTACTTTAAAGATTTCATACACACTCAGAACACAAATAAAAATAAACCACATAGTCTATATACATTTGACAAAGAGACAGTTGACATTGACAGTGGGGACACCTATTCTGGCAATTGGAATTAATTTGTCAATATCATTTTTTGTGGTGAAATTCTGTGTTGTAGAAGAAAGTAATATTATTAAAAAATGTCGTCAAACATTCAAAAGGCTCAGCAGTTGATGGCAGATGCAGAAAAGAAAGTATCATCTAGAGGTTTCTTTGGATCGCTATTTGGGTAAGCTAGTTTGATTCAGAGATTTCCTTTGTTGCATTTTATTATATTTTATAGTTATATACCTCAAATTATTCTAACTCACAGCATCATTATTGTAATATGCACATATTAGAGTATTTTACTAACCAACCAGCATAAGAAACCTTTAGTAAAACTATACGTTTCTTAAAAATTGTTTTACTTGCCCTTAATGAAACTATATCAGCAATGTAATGCTTTAAATTAGCAATAATAATAACAACTCTTGTGAGAACCATCGCATTTAAGAATAATAATGAACAGAAGAGTTTAATTTGTCATTTTAAAAGGTAAATTAGATGTAAGCCTTCCTATATTGATTGAAATACCTTGGACTATTATAAATATATCATAAATAAATAAAAATTGATGGTTAATAACATGGATCCACAATTTAGGTTAATTAATACAACAATTTGTTAAAATCAGCTTTCAGTTACAAACACAAATACCCTTACAGTGCCTAATTAACCTACTGTGAATATGATACAAGTATTACCTGACATACATTAATATTGTAAAGATAGAACATTTCCTCCGATGTGCTAGCAGTCACATAGCACCCAGAATAATAGATTTATTTTAAGCAAAGGAAAACAAAAATCCTCTACAGTCCTTTTTCAAATGTTCCTTCTAAAACTTCAGAACAAATGCACTAAATATGTACAAATTTTACACACTATTATAAAAGGAGGGCGATTGAAATATTGTAAAGATAGAACATATCCTCTGATGTGCTAGCAGTCACATAGCACCTAGAATAATAGACTTATTTTAAGCAAAGGAAAACAAATATACTCTACAGTTCTTTTTCAAATGTTCCTTCTAAAACTTCAGAACAAATGTAATAAATATGTACGAATTTTACACACTATTATAAAAGGAAGGCGAATTTGGTTGGCAAGTTTTGTTTTACACTAAAGATAATACGAGTATTTACACTCACCTATTATTAGTAATCCTACCAACAATTATAGTGATTTTATGGAAGGGTTTTAGACAAAATATACATTAACATAGTATAGGTAATGATAAAAAATTTGCTAATTTTCTATAATAATTGTGATTTTATTATAATATATCTTTATTTATCAGCAAAATATACTTAAATTAATGTTTTCTTTATTAAATAATCATTTTGTCATTATTGTATCTATTTTTTGTGATTTACAATGAATCTATTATGTTATATATAGTGATATTTAAGGTTTTTATATCAATTACATTGCAGTGGATCAAGTCGTATTGAAGATGCAGTGGAATGTTACACAAGAGCTGCAAACCTTTTTAAAATGGCCAAGAGTTGGGATGCTGCCGGCAAAGCCTTCTGTGAGGCTGCTAATCTGCATTCAAGAACTGGTGCTCGTCATGATGCTGCCACTAATTATATAGATGCTGCAAATTGTTACAAAAAAGCTGATATATTTGGTAAGTTTTATAAAAATTTAAGCTGCTTTTAGTTTAAAGTTTGTTGTTTTCAGAGGCTGTAAACTGCTTCATAAAAGCTATAGACATTTATACTGAAATGGGTCGCTTTACAATGGCTGCAAAACACCATCAGACTATTGCAGAAATGTATGAGACTGATGCTGTGGACATCGAAAGAGCTGTTCAACACTATGAACAGGCGGCTGATTACTTCAGAGGAGAAGAAAGCAATGCTTCCGCCAATAAGTGTCTTCTTAAAGTGGCTCAATATGCAGCCCAACTTGAAAACTATGAAAAAGCAGTGGGAATTTATCAAGAAGTGGCTTATGCAGCTCTGGAAAGCTCTCTTTTAAAATACAGTGCAAAGGAATACTTATTCAGAGCTGCCCTTTGCCACCTTTGTGTTGATGTACTCAATGCACAACATGCTATAGAAAGCTATATTTCAAGGTAAGAAAACTACCAATATTTTATACCAATTAATATGTATGTAGAATTGCACTATCAATAGCACAGATAATGTTTGGAGAGGACCTGATTTTTCATCAACAAACTGTTGTTTTTATATAAGGAACTTTGCAATATTAATATACTGATCATATCTTGAATATTTTCTCCTTCCATTTGCCACTGTTGTAAGTTCTGATTAGCGTTACATGTAGGATAATGCAAGACCACATACTGCAGCAGTAAGAGATTGGTTTCTTAATGCGTATAGTACACTTTTACATTGCCAGCATAATTGATAGATCTTAATCCCAACGAGCATATATGGGATATGTCTCAGAGACAGAGTGCTCCTCATCTGCATAATGTTGGTTGAAAAGATATGAGGGTGGATATTTGGATATGAGGCCAAATGGAGAACACATCATCTACATATCTCCACTATACCATGGGTTGTTTGTCTTGTTTGTGCACAATGTTTTGTTAGAAATCTTCCATGAATATATCTGCTAATAATGGAGATAATGATGAGCCCATGGCTAATCCGAAATTTTGCTTATAGAAATCATTGTTAAGTTGAAAGTAAGTATTGTGTTAAGTTGAAAATAAGTGTTGGTAGCTCCATGCTAGCTAATACATTTAGTTTGGTTTTTGTTGTTAATGTATCGCCTCTCTAATTTAACTCTTATTATATTTAAGTTTTCTCCAATGGCACATTGGTGACTTTTTTATCTTATTTTTATTTATTTATTTTTATGTACAACAAGCTGTTAAGGCCTAGGGCATTTTTTTTAAACATAATCCTAATATTAACTAATTACAATTATTTTAGACAAAACTTTAACTTAAATATGTATATACAACATTCTTAACTACTCTGAAGGACCTTGTGGACAATATTTCTCCATTCGCTTCTATTTTGTGCTATGTATTCCAGTCCTTCACCTTCACATGTTTAAGGTCTTCCTCCACTTTACTAATCCACCTCGTTCTGGGTCTACCTCTTCTTTTGGGGTCGATTAGTTTTCTCGTTATTACTAGTTTAGGCATTCTTTTTGCTGCCATTCTCTTTCCACATATCCCAACCATCTGATTCTTTGTGACTTGACGAACTTGGTAGTGGTAGGTTCTTTCTATAAAGCCATTAATGCATTGTTGGTTCTTCTCTCCCAACCATCTTCTGTCCTTGGTCCTCAGAATATGCGTCTCAATATATTCCTTTTCCATCTTTCCAGAGTCTACTCTTGCTTCTTATTTAATGTCCATATCTCACTGGCATGTGTTACTGTGGGTCGAATTACTGTTTTATATATTCTGAGTTTACCTTGTCTAGAAACATATTTTGAGTTCAGTAGGGCTCTTATACTACCTAATTTTTTATTCCCTTTTGGTATTCTGGCTTCGAGTTCCCATTTCTCTTTTCTATTTTCATCGAAAACTACACCCAGGTATTCAAATTTGTCCACCCTTTTAAAACTATAGCTTTTACCACTTACAGACCTCACACTAAAGTCTTCTTTTTTCCCTTTTGTCCCTCCCATGATCATATATTTGGTTTTGTCTTCATTTAGTTCCAATCCGAATTTCTGTGCTTCTTCAATGATTTTCTTCACAACTCTTCTTAATTCTTTCTTGGTTTTTGCTAGGATCGTTAGATCGTCAGCAAATGCCAAGCACTGGTGTTCATTTTTCATGATCGTTTCTTCTACCTTCATGCTGCATTTTCTGATTACAGTTTCGAACACTAAGTTTCCAGGCTTGATCTCTCTGTAAATTTTGGTCACATTGTAGAATTTTATTTATTTGTTCTTCATATTTATTTTTTATTTCTACTTCCTTAAGTTTTTCAATATTGTACTTTCCCTTCGTTTTATTGTTCGATTTCTCTTTTTCTTCCAACCTCCTCCCACATGTGAATTTAACGAGGTAATGGTCCGAGTCGATTTCAGCTCCTTCATACTTCTTACCTTCTGAACGATATTCATATATTTACTTTAAATCATAATATGATCTATTTGATTCACTGTCCTTCCATCTGGGGATACCCACATACCTTTGTATATCTCTTTTCATTTTAGTTGTGTGCTTCTCACCACCATGTTTTTCCCCATCACAAATCCAATAAGTCTTGACCATTATCGTTTGTTACTTCGTATTTACTGTAGTTACCAGTTACTGCAGTGTACAGAGGTTCTTTTCCCACTTTAGCATTACAATCACCCATTATTATTTTTACATCACATTTAGGTAGGCGCTCATATTCATCATTTAGCTGTTCATAGTAAAGATCTTTTATTTCGTCGTCCTTGTCTTCTGACGGTGCATGAGTGTTGATTATACTCCAATTCCTTTTCTTACTTTTAATTCGTATTGAACACATCCTATCAGAGATAGGATTAAAAGCTATCACTTTGTTCTTGATACATTCAGCTACTAAAAAACCAGTTCCAATCATTCTATCTTTACCTCCACTTTTGAAGAGCACCATATCTGCACTATATCAGTTATTTCCTATCCTAATTGTTTTGTCTCTTAAAGAGCTATTAAATTGATTTTATACCTCTTTGCCTCATTCGTAAGTTTTTTTTTTTTATCTTATTTTGCTTGACTATAACGCTTGAACATAGATTTTTTATTGGCTTTAAATCGGGTCTATTTCCAGGCCAAGGCAGTACAGTAACATCACGTTTTTTCAACCATCCCATATGCTGTAGTCTTGGCCGTATAACAGGTTGCTCCATCCTACTGGAAATGCAATGTTGAGCATCCCCTTTTCGAGAAAAAAAATTGTTTATTATGACAGGAGAACCAATTCATTTCTATCGAAATTAATAGTATGGAAACAACAAACTAAAATAGGAGTATCTAGCTTATCAAAGAAAAAAAAACAGAATCAAATTCTACAATTTAATATGACAATCTCATCTCAGAAAACTACAACAATAGTAGTCAGCAAAGAATCAACCAGATGTAAAATTGAAATTGTTGGCACCAGTAAAGTTAATTCTATTTTCATTTGAGACAATTATATAATCATTCAGAGTCTGCGATGTAGGGGTTACATCGGTTCCAGGTAGTGTTTTAGTTATTTTGATTGAATTTCGGTACCTTTCGGTAATTGTTATATAATCGATCTGATTTCTTATGATCTTTTCTTTAGTATCTGCGGGTGACTTCCAAGTATATTAGGTCACCACCTTTATTATGTCTAATAAAGGTGGTGATGTAATAGCTCAGAAGGGTGATAAAATAGTCATTCTATTTGCCAGTTATTTTTCAAGTACATATAATGATAGTGAGAATAATGTACTTAATTTTAAATTGGACTATAGTGTGGATTTCCAGATTCTGAAGTTTAGTCTGACTGATGTTTTCGAGGGGATTAGGAGTTTAAAAACTACATATTCTTCAGGGCCTGATGGTATACCTGCAGCACTTATTAAGAACTGAATTTTTTCTCTGTGTAAACCTTTACAACAAATTTTCAATTTATCATTGTCATCATCTGTATTTCCACAATATTGGAAAAATAGTTTTCTTATATGTATCTATAAATCTGGCAATCGCGAGTGTGTTAACAATTATAGAGGTATAACTATTCAATCAGCAATCCCGAAACTTTTTGATAAATTGGTATCGATAAATCTCACCTGGGCTTGCAAAAACATAATTAATTTATTGATGAACAACATGGTTTTTCTAACGGGAAATCAACTGTAACAAACCTTGTCAATTACCAACAATACTTGTTGGGTGCATTTGAGAATAAAATTCAGGTCGACAGCATTTACACTGATTTCTCAAAGGCCTTTGACCAGGTTAATCATAATCTTTTGGTCCACAAACTTAATGCGTCTGGCTTTGGTGACCCCCATTGTTAATTGGATTAAAAGTTTTCTGATGGGACGTACACAGCAAGTTCATATTAACAATTATATCTCAAAGAATTTCATTGTTATTCATGTGACCACAAGGGTCTCATTGTCATCCCTTGTTTATTAACTTGTTCATTAACGATATTGGTCTTCTTCTTCGAGTGCCTCTCCTATCAGAGATTGGATATCATTAGGGTGATTCCAATTTTATGTATACTCCATTCCACGAATATACGACTGTTTTAAATTCGCTTTAAGGTGTCGACTTAAGTGGTCCAATGTGCTGAATTGTACAGTGGTAAATTCTCCCCATTTTTAAAATACTGTTATGACAGATATACACCTTAGATTTAAATATGAAGTTATGATCTAAATATAGAATTGATAGGTTATAGAATAGTTTGTAATTCAGATTTGACGTATACCCGTATAATTACTCTCATTGACTTTAGTATTGTAAACAAGTTGGTTTTTGAATTAAGTGATTTAAACGAAGTGTAACAATACTTAAGTGATTAAATAGTTTAATTTATTTAGTCGAATATTCAATTAGTATTAAAAAATCAAAAAAACTTACTCTTACTCTTATTCTCCTAATCACCATTACAAACAAATACACTATACTAAACTCTCTCTTAACGGAACCGTCTCTTCACCGGACACCTCTATACGGACTGTTTTTAAAACTAAAATCAGTCGGCGATTTATGAAACTGTATGTAAATTTTCGTTACTTTTTAATATCTGTAATGACTCGGTACTTTAACTATCAATAGCCGCCATGTTATACCCGTTACTTTCGGAACTTTTAAGAGTATATCCACTCAAAGCAAACAAAAAACTAACAAAGTGGAATACTAGATTCTTTTCCTGGTTTCTAAGCCATCGTTCTGCTAATTTCTTTTTATTTATATTAAAAATATATTTCTTTTTATTACCGTTGTAGTACCTACCTAATAAAGTAATAAAGATACCCGGCGCGCCTCTTTGGTGTTTACATTTCACCGAAATCCAACCCAAATGGCTGATGAACACATTTTAACTTCATAGAGGTCATTGTATTTACCTATTTGTAGGAGCGTTTACGTAAATTTTTTTGTTATTTTCGGATTAATTTTCACAATAAATT